ATACCCACAGCAGGAGGGGGGAAGAAAAACCAAAACGCAGCAGAATTTAAAAATGACAAAATGCTCTTTTATTGGACCTTACAGTAGGTTAGGCCTGGAAGTGAGGAGGCTGCAGCCACAAGGACGAGGAGTTAGAAACCTTTTACACACAAAGCAAAAAACCTTTCCCACAAGTGCCAGAGGAAACAGAAGGGGCTGGAAGAAATCTTGAGTCGCAGAAAAAACCTTTGGAGGTTGTAACGCATGTTGGAGGCCATTCAGCGGCTTTCAGAGCCTCTTGGAGGTGTTTTCACTGCTGAGGACCTGGACCTGTGTCTCCACAAGGCCGTGACTCATCCTTGGAATGGGGTGAACGAAATGGTTGTGCCCGTTCCAGGAGTGCTTCCACTTCCCTCTAATGGTCTGGCTTTGAGGGGAGGCCAAGAGAGCTGACACAGGGGCACCAGGGGTTGGCTCCCAAAGCCCTGCCATGGCCTGTTACAACCTGTGCTTCAGCCAAAGGTGCTCCAGATTCCGGCGGAGGGGTCCCGGTCCCCCCGCTGCCCCAGGGGTGAAGGACGGAGGAAGGAGAGGCTCTAGCGCAGCTATTTACACCAAGATCTGCGGGGCACGAGGCCGGAGTTGCCGACGGTCAGGGGGCTTCCCGGACTTATCTGATGGTCTTTTTGCTGGTGGTGGTCTTGGAAACAATCCTGACGCTGCCTCCCGTGCTGGAGCTGACACCGCGGCTGCTCCCGGAGCTGAAGGAGCTGCCTCCACCATAGCTGAGGCCTCCGGAGAAACCTCCACTGCCGCCTCCAAATCCTCCACTGCCGCCACCGAAGCCACTGCCGCCACCAAATCCTCCACTGCCACCACCAAAGCCACCGCTGCTCACGGTGTAGCCGCCGCCGCCACCGCCCAGGCCCAGGCCGCTCCCGCCGCCGTAGCTCATCCCGCTGGAGCTGCTGACCACGGCTGTGAAGGAAACGGGAATGGCCCCGTGAGACTGGACAGCTGGACACAGCCGAGGTGGGGACACCGGCGGGGTCACCACGGTGAGGAGGGGTGAGTAGGGAGGGGGGAATGGGGGATGTGAAGGGGGGGGGGGGGGGGGGGGAGAAAAAAAAAAAAGGGGGGGGGGGGAAAGGGGGGAGAGGGGGTGAAAAAAAAAACCGGAGCGAGCTCCTAGCCTTACTGGAGGGGATCCAGCTG